GATTTCTTTAAATACATTAAAGGTAAACAAAAGGTTAGGATGGGGATAGGACCTTTGAGAGATGATAAGGAAATGCTCGTATCTGCTACTTTTCTTAGACCAAGTAGTTACATGTAACTGTCATTCGTATAAAGCATCCAAGACCCAAAAGTATGGAGTACAATTTCTTTTTTTATGGTGGTATCAAGATGCAACTCACAAAACCTCAGCTTCATTGTCTGGCATGGTAGCAACTCTTCTCACCAAATTTGTAGGAAGAAGCAAGACTTATATTGATTGAGTCATTTTTTAGCTGTGTGACAATTTCCCTGCTGAGTTAAAAAAATTGTGTCTGTTGATTCACGGTTGTCATTATGAAATAAATCCTTTTTAACATCAATTTGAAATTAAAAATTTTCACTCAGGTTATATTAATAATCTTGATATCTATAAAAACAAAAGTCTGCATTGCAAATTCTTGGAAATTATATTAAATACAACAGAAATGTAGCAGTGCTTGTAGTTGTTCTTAGAGCTACACAATAACATAAATAGTTTACAATAGTGTAATCCTATTAGAGTACATTAAATTAAAATAATCTATTGGTTACATTCCGTATTCCTTGTCTAACAGTGAAATGTTTATCTCTTGTAATTGTTTCTAAACGTATATTGAAGTACACTGTAAAGAAACAACATAAGTCAATAGAAATGTACTGTTCATGGTGGTGCTGGAGGCTTGAAAGATATTTTCATTTTACTGGTAATAATTGGAACATGCAAAGACAACAACTGGACATGTGTAAGAAACGGAATATGTGATACTATGGGAATATATAATTTGATTTTTGAAAAAGTTTGCAGAGATTCTGATGAATAAAACTGAAGGAATAAGAGTAAGTGGCAAGCAGAGACTCACTTGACTCAATGGCGTCAGAAACAGTCGACTGGAAATGAGAAAAGAAGTAGAAAGTTGGCGCAGACATTGATGGAATAAATAAGAATGAATAGCCACAGTCATTGACCCGCCGAAATGGGGAGGACACCATTATAGTTTGATAAATACCTTATATCTGTTGCACATGCCATTTAAGGATAATTTATAATTACTTTTAATTATCAATAAAATTATATATTCTATTCTTTTTAAACACTATGCTTGTTAGCAGCATTGCAGTATTATATAGCATCTAGTTAAAGGGATTGGCACTGTAATATCCTTTAATGGTCAATTATGACGTTGACTAAATGTAACAGATGACCAGTGCTATGAGAAAACAAATGTCATGAAGTGATGCTATTGACTGGACTAACAAAGTGAGTTGATCTGTTGAATTAAGGTACTCTTTCTTTTGCCAGTTCTAGTAGGAGATTATACTTTGGTTTTGAGCAATGCCACAAGGGGCTATTTTTTATGTTCACCATGGAGAATCGAACCCCGGATTTTAGCATTGTAAGTGCATAAACCTACTGGGGTCAGGAGGTTATAGTGTAAAGACGTATTTTTAAGATAACCATGCTTATTTAGTTTGATGGAAGTTGATCCTGAGAGAGAGAGAAGCAACTGTTTTTTTTTGTTTGTAAGAATGTATGCTGCATTTACTTTTTCTTTCTTTTTTTTTCACCAGAGGTGAAATTGAAAATAGAATCTGTGACATAGAAGTTTAATGCACTCCTTGATTGGCCTTACCCTCTGCTATAGACTGCAGTTTCGTCTCTTCAATGCCCATCAGAACAGCTTTGGTCAGCAAACTAAAGAAATACCATTAGGCCTTTAATAATGGTGAAGTGTATATGATATATATGGTGCATAATATTATAAATAAGAGCAGAGATTGTTTTAATTTTTTCAACTTTATCCAGTTGCGTTATTTTACACACACTAGGAAGACTCAGTTAAATTATCTGATCAGAATCACTTTCCTTATTTCCTGAACGAATCTGTCTGATACTTTCCAATATATCAGCAGTTTTTACCTAAACATACCACAAGTAGATAGGAAAGAGAAATTTTGATGTCGTGCCATCAGGATTTATCAAAGAGTTTTTGAGGTGATAACGTGCATATTAGCTCTTGCTAAATCCCTTGAGTATAATAAGTTTGAAAGAACGATTCTCACGGAAATAATGACATTTTCTGTACATAAAAATGCTCTGACTGAAAGGTATAGTTTACTTGATCCCTTGAGTTTAATAAGTTTGAAGGAATGCTTCTCATGGAAATAATGACATTTTCTGTACATAAAATACTCTGACTGAAAGGTATAGTTTACTAGTGGAGAGAGACAGCTGTATGGGAGAGATGTCGAGTCTAGGAAAAGTCTTCTCCTGGACATAGAACTTTTGCCAATGAAACAGAGGTCCATGACATCAGTCATCCTGCAACCACTGACTCAGGGGGATTTGCTCAAATCTGGCGCATACAGGCCACTCAAGCAGATGTCACCCCGAGAAATTGATCCTAACAGATGAGAAGTGCAAATGACTAAGTTTCACTGTAATGATTTGGTACCTAGCAAATTAGATATCATATGGCGATATATCTATCACACTCCCAGATCCATGCCAATCAGAGCACAGCAACCCCAGCTCTGATTGAGGCCAAGAACATCGGTGAAATCTCCAGCTTACATCTGTTGGGATTACAAGAAAAATAGGCTTTAGCCTGGCACATAGGGCCCTGTGAGCGAGACAAACAGATCACACTCCCAAAGCTCAAGAGGACAACAAAAGAGGATCTGGACTGGTTTCACAAACGTTTCTGGCAGGACACTATCTGCAATGGGTGGATTCAGAAGCAGGCTGTACAACACTTGGTCCTGAGCTTAAATGATCTAGCCCACAACACTGTTAAGCATTTGGAGGAGGAGCAAGAAGATGACTGGGAAACCACCATATCTGAGCTGTATTGTCGATTTGACCCAATGGAGAATT